AGAGAGAGAGAGAGAAAATGGAACTCTAACTCTATACACACTTATATGACTTGGTCCTTAGGGGCGAAAGGGATGAATTTGGAGATTCCGTCATGGAGATAGAGGAGAATGAGAACATGTGGAGATGGTGGGATGCTAGTTCAGAAGATTTTGTGTTTGAGCAGGACAACTTGTGGCATTTGAGGGACAGACTCGGCTACCTCTACTTTCAGTACTTTGAAAGATCTGCACCTTATGGAAGAATCCCTCTTATGGACAAGGTATCTCCTCCTTTGCCTTTCTACCCTTTTTGGCTGCTTCCAGCAATTATTGTTGTTTGTTTCAATCAAAACCAGAGAACTAGGCAAACTTTTGGAGAATGGTGTGGACCTCTGGCTTTCCAATGTCAAAACAAGATTAAATCCTTTATATATTGTTAGTGAGTGATTATGTAAAGCTGGGTAGAACTCGCCAATTAGCGAGCTCACTCTCTCTCAACTCCGAGTTGTGGGCTGGACTCTCATGATAACCAATTCACTTACCTAACACACATGAGTACACACATGCACATAGATCAACGGCTCCTTTTCTGTTTCCACTACCAATTGCAGTTTACATTGCCTTCAGATAAATGAAGCAGCTAGGGGATTTCCTGGGCTCATGTCATTGAAAAGTGTTGATCTCTCCCCTGCAAGTTGGATGGCAGTGGCCTGGTGCACACTTATCTCCCATTCTTCTTTTTCATGCTTTCTTTCTCATTGGTTCCTTAATCAAATGCTTGTTTCAGGTATCCCATCTACCATATTCCCACAGTACGAACAGTCAAGGACTTGTCCGCTTGCTTTCTCACTTATCATACGCTCTCTTCCTCCTTCCAAGGTACTTAAGATACTAATGAACCTACTAATTTAAAATAACTTCCGAAATCAACATAAGAAAACCTGGCCTACTCAAAGATTTCTTTTTTAACAGTCATCATGAAAATATTTCACAATTCATAGATGGATGGTTGCAGACAGTGGGGAGCAAGATAACGAGGCAAGAGAAAGAAAGGGAGAAGGGATGGCTCTTCCTCCCTTTGGGATGGCCACATACAAAATGCAAGGGGATGTTTGGATGTGTGCAGAGAGTAGAGATAGAGAGAGAATGATATCATTGCTGAGCGCTGCAGACTCATGGCTAAAGCAACTGGGGGTTCGGCACCACGACTTTGACTATTTCACAGGAATTCGGCATGGCTAGTGCTCAACGTTACTTCTGATTTTACCAGTTTTTGGTCCATTGGAGACTCCTATTAAAGGAACGAAGAATTTTTGGTGGCGAGAGCTGTGCGTTCTTTTTGGCAGGGAAATTGGAAGAAAGCAGGTAGAGGATTCTCAACAGAGAGGGAAGCAAGAATTGCTCTCATTTTACAGATCTACAAAAACCAACACTTGTTTGAAATTTTGACAAAAAATGTTTACATAAAAGGGAAAATCTCTCTCTCTCTCTCTCTCAAAAGGGGAAGGGAGCCTGGCCTTTTTCTATTGCAGTTCATTGCGGCTGACTTCTATCATGGGGTCATATACATGGCATGGAGCGATAGCCTCCATCAGCCCCAACGCCCTTTGCGAGCAGATGATGGGTTGAGTGGTCAGACCTTGAATGGGGAACAATGGATTGTATTTTTACCTTAAAAGAAAAAAAGAATATGAAAGAAAGAATCAGGGTGTTTTTGCATATTTTCAAATATCTGTCTAATGCAGAGACTGAAAAATGGTTCTGAAAGTTGAACTTTGTCCAAGCCAAAACTGAATCTACTCTAGCAAGTTTTTCTTTTTTGTCTTCTAGACGCCAAAAGAGCTTAAGAAAAAGCTAAACAATGGCCAGACATGGCTCCTGAGTTATATCCATAAAAAATATGAATTGATAAACAAAATCCCCAAAATCCATTGAGATTCCGACAAGAACCCTGAAAACAAGGGAATACTTTTAGAAGGGAGAGTGAAGTAGAAAGAATATGCTATGGTTTTATGTTCTTAGAACGCAGAATGATGATTGCTTTTGTTCGGAGGTCAAGAGAGAAGAATCATAGGACACAAAACTTAGAAAATCAGGGATTAAATAGAACAAGGGATGGGAGACCAAATCTGACTTCCCACTGGCCAACACCAAAAGAATGAAAAATAGGCAAAACCATTCCAAGTTGAAAAGAAAGCTTGGGTATGTCAATTGAAAACTTAATAACTTGCTAGGTTTACCTTTTTGAAAGCCTCCATCAACTCATTTAAGATCACAGTAGATCAAAACCAGCACAATAGATGAACAGAAAAGGAAATACTAAGTTATGTACTCTAAATTTCAATAGAAGAAATCCAACTAATATTCTATGAGTAAATAACAAAAAGAACAATGATTAGCAAATAAAGAAATTTGTGTTCTTATTATTGTTAAGCACCAAATCCTATCAAAGGTGCTGGCCTATCACCTTCGTGAGGTCCTAGGCTCGGTTATTGCCCCTCAGCAAGGTGCCTTTGTAAAAGATTGTCAAATACTTGACGGCGCCTTTATAGCCCACGAATGTATTCACTCCAGGCATCTATCGAAAATGTCTAGTCTGGTTATTAAACTTGACTAGGAGAAGGCATATGACCACGTAGACCAGGCAATCCTCGATGAAACCCTGGCCTGAATGGGTTTTGACCATCAATGGAGGAAGTGGATCCAAGGTTGTAAATCAACTCCCCACTTCTCTGTCCTGATTAACAGGTCCCCCAAAGGCTTGTTCCCTGCCTCAAGGAGTCTCGGCCAGGGGGATCCTCTCTCCCCTTTCCTGTTTCCGATAGTGGCTAAAGTCTTAAGCCACTCCATTAGTCGCTACTTCTTATCTGGCATGCTACACAGCTTCTCCTTTGGACCCTAAGGACCTCCCATTACCCACTTTCAGTACGAATATGACACTTTGCTCTTCCGTGAAGCCTCTCCCCAAGAGGTAGACTCCCCTTTCCTCTTTCTCAAACGCTTTGAATGAGCCACTGGATTCAAAGTAAACATGTAAAAATCCAAGATGATTGGGGTGGATATAGACCCACAATCCATTCAGGAGTTGGCAGATAGATGGGGTGCCAACCAGTGCACCTCCCCTCAGTGGGCACATATCATCAGCAAGTTCGAAAGAAAATTCGCCACTTCCCCTCAGTGGGGCACATATCATCAGCAAGTTTGAAAGAAAATTCGCCACTTGGAAGGGCCGTTTTCTATCCCCGGCAGGTAGAGCCATAGAATCACCTTAATCAAGGCCACCCTATCTAACGTCCCCATCTAGCAAATGCCGGTATCTGTTACCTCTCTCCTCAAACAAGTCATGCTTGATTTTTTGTGGGTTGACAACAAAAATAGGCACAAATTTCATATGATTTCTTGGGACAGAATTTGCCTATCTCGCCACCAAGGGGGCCTAGGGATTGTAGTCTCAGGAAAACCAACTTAGCTCTAATGAGAAAGTGGTGGTGGTGCTATGGTACTCCAGAGGGACATCTGTGGAAGCAGGTAATCAGCCACAAATACCATCTCAATCAATCTTCCTGGCTACTGAACTGCCAGGCTAATAGTAGAGCCTCTAGCATTTGGAAATCCTTCTTAGTGTCCTAAAACTCTTCAAAGGATCTTTCAAAGTACAGATAAACCTTTACACATGAAAGCTCGGTCAAAGTTCCCGGAACAAATTAACAAATTGAATGATACAAACCTAAAACAAATCTTAAGCTTTTAATTGGTAAAATGCATCAATTAGGTCAACTTGTTGACTGAAGTTCCAATGATAAAGCACCATGATGTGCACCTATTGCTGCAAAAAAGGTGAGAGCAAGTTATACAAAATAATGCAGCAAACAGTGGCACATTACCCAACGTATTTTAACGAAGCAGGATCGTTAATGAGGATCCAGGCTGCAAAATGAGATGCGTTAGCGCAAGAACTATACAAGCGACTTTTTTATATGGTACATTCGAGTTCATCTGAGGGCTTGGGCTCGGACCTTTTAGTTTTTTGCAAGTTTTCCATGTAAATATATATAATAAATGAAATAATAAAATCCAGAAATTCTTACAGCTCCATACATCTACACAAATATGAATCCTTCCTGAATCCTCGCATAACCTGCAATTGCCTATTTTCAGAATTCTACCACTCTCAATCCCACCTTGAGAAAATAAAGCATACGCTGAACTCACAATAAACACTAACAAAGCAATGAAAACTACAGTAATGAAGGAAAACAACAGAGCAAGGACTGAAGTTGCAAGATACAAGAAAATCAAAAGATAAAATCCAGTACAAAGCTCATAAAAAACTCTAAGGTGATTTCAAGAACAATAAATTCTAGATTATTGTCATCCTCATATTGTAGGCGTGCTCCTCCAAAGGGTTTTCAATGAGGTAATTGTATCAACAATGGTTTCCTATATATTTTTATGTCAACTAGCCATCAGTTACTCTTGAGAGAGAAAGGGCGTCTGAAATGAAGCATAAAGAGGAGGGACCGTATTAAATCATACAACACCACATAAGAAAACATCGCATTATTACTGCTTATCCAACATAGATTCACCCCGAAGTAAAGATAAAAAAATAAAAAATGTACAGAAAATTAAAAATATTGGAAAAATCAGCAAAAAACATAAGTCATAGGAATCATTAAATGACAACAGAAGGTAGAAAAAATATAAAAGATTAAATTCTCAAAAAAAAAGATATATGGCATTAATATTTTAGAAAAATCAAAAAAGAAAAAAAATAAAAATTTGGATAATGTGATAAGAAAAGTTCCCAAATCATCTTTAACGCGTCTAAAATGCCTTTCAAAATTTTTTTGAATTTTTTGTTTTTTTTACATCATTTTTCAGCCTGGCGAGTTGCCTTTGGAATTGCCATTACTTGGCCATGTCCTTGCTTGGAGTGGACTCACACTATCTCTAGCAACGGAGAGATCTATTGCCGAATAAAATATTGAAATGAGAAAAAACCACATAAAATTACAAGGCCTAGAACCCCATCTGCAAAAAAAACCTTTAATTCTAGCTATGCTTCCCCCTTTGTGAAAGGAAAGAAATGGAAAAATATCCCCAGCAAATAAACTAAAAACACAACCAGTACGAGACGAAGATATTAAAAAGCCATAGACAAACTAAAAAAAAGGAAAAAATTCACTAGCAACCCATGTCGCCAGAAAACAGCACTAATTGTTTTTTTCTTTTTTAAAAAAATTGTTAACTGTTTTTTTTACGGCTCTTACACGCACAAAAGCTCATCACAAACATAAAAAAAGCACTAATTCTTGCTGCTCCTGCTGATCAACCAGGCCCTAAAACCAAAAAATCCCCCAATAAGCACTGCTTCTCATGGCCAGATTGATGCTTATCAACAGGAAACCTAAGCAGCAAATGAAATAAAACGAAAAAACCCTAATTCTTACTGATTCTCCTGCCCAATCGAGAGGCCTAGGGGGACAGAACGTAGAACGAGCCAAGATGAACAGGGGAAATGACAATGATCATAATTCTTCACGCCCCTTGTGTGAGCAGTACCGCATATGAGCGGGAACTTTCGACCGCAAAAGCGCGCGAGTTCTCGCCTCTCCCCCTGGTGCGAATTACCTCTAAAATTCACCTAAAGTGCAAAACACACACTCTCTCTCATGCCCCTCCTCGAATCTCGGTGCCAAGAATCTCCTTTCAAAAAGTTTTTTTTTTTTTTTATAAAAATAAGTTTATCTAAGGCCCTTTTTTTTTTCTTTTTTTTTTAGATATCTTCTTTCTTCCCGAAATGTTTTGTTTTTAAGGTTTAAATAATTTTTGGGTACTATATTTGATAATCGACTAAAATGTTAAGAAAGTTCTGGGTATTGTGATCGGTAACTTATATATATTAACCATATAAAAATAAATAAATATAACATAATATAATATATAATATAATATATCTTATATATTTTATTAATTTATATTTGTATTATATAAATCAAATTTGAACCTACCTCAAAACTCTCACTAAAAAAGGTTGTTTTGATGCTCAAATATTTACAAATTTATCATCTCGACATCAAGATGCATGGAAATGAGAAAAAAATAGATTTCAACTTTTGGAAATAGTATATTTTGTAATGTAGTTTTGGACAGTTAACTTTCATGATTTTCAAATGTTCATAGATCTATCGATCGATACTATTTTTTGAAGCATTAAACTTTATAAATAAATATGAAAATATATTTTAAGGCTATCATAAAGATTTTCCGTGTTGAAACCATATTTCTCGATACTATTTGAAAATAGGCTTTAATTTGATTGTTTAGAGCGTAGGCTCTATACAAACTAGCAACCCTTATTATATGACATATACTATAATGTTTATTATAATATAATATAAGATATTA